AGCAGCGGACCGCGCCTGGAGATATGGCAGAGGCTCTAGGGCAATACTGGGGGCAGGTATTCCAGCGTCGCGGCTTGGGCGAGGCGAAGCTGGAAGAGTGGCTTGCGCAAGATGCGGCCCGCCGTCCTCCAGAGCACCAGCGCCCCTTCCTGGCCAGCCAGTTCCGCCTCGAGAAGAAACACATACGGGGCGCCATTCGAAGCTCGCGGACTTCATCGCCAGGCCCAGATGGCCTCCCTTTTCTCGCTTGGCGGCGAGTGGAATCGCTTGCCGTGGAGGTGCTTTTTGAGGTTTTCGGCGATATCTGCAGTGAAGACGGCCTCCGCCGGCTCCATGAATACGGCGAGGACTTCAACGCCAGCTTGCTGTTTTTTATCCCGAAAGGCGCCCCAGAGCGCACGGCCGAGGACGAGCTCTACCACGCGGTCGACAAGGTCCGCCCTCGGAACGTGACCAATGCCGACAATCGCCTGCTGGCCAATGCTGTGCGGATGGTGATTGAGGACGCGGTTGCGAGCCGGATCTCCAAGACTCAGAGAGGGTTCTTGCCGGGGCGATCAATGCTTGCCAAACTGGTGGACCTAGACGAGGGGCTCGCTGAGCATTACATCGCCGGCTCGGAGTCCGCCGCATTTTTCCTCGACTTCGAAGCCGCGTTCCCGTCCATCGAGCACGGCTTCATGATGCGGTTATTTCGGCATTTTGGCTGGCCTACTTGGCTGCTCCGCTTCGTGGGCGCGCTCTACCAAGACAACAAGTGCGAGGTTGTCGTGCAGGGCGCGCGCTGCACGGGCTTTCGACTCACGCGGGGTGTGCGACAGGGGTGTCCGTTGTCGCCGCTCCTTTTCGCAGTTGCCTCTGATCTACTACTTTGTCGTATTCAACGCCTCTTGCCGGCCGCGCTCGTCCGGGCCTACGCCGACGACCTGGTGATCCTTGTTGAGCGCGCCCTCGCCCAGTTGCCGACGCTCCACCGCATGTTCGACGACTACGCGCGGATTTCTGGCCTACGCCTGAACTTCCGGAAGACGGCGTTCGTTCCCTTGTTCGCTTACGACGAGCCGGCGCTGCGGGCTGCCATAGCCCGCGAAGCCATGGAGTGGGGGGCCATGGCCATCAAGGACCAGGCCCAGTATTTGGGCTTGATTTTGGGGCCCGGCGCAGGGGGCGATTCATGGACGGCGCCGCTCGCCAAGATGTTGGACCGCGCCCAGCTCTGGGGTGCCCTTGGCCCAGGGGTGTTTCACACTTGCGCGGCCTTCCATGTGTTCGTTGCGTCTGTCGTCATGTTCGTGGCGCAGTTGCGGCCCTTGCCAGCTATTTTCTCGACTGCAGAGACCAAGGCCTGCTCCAAGCTGTTCCCTGGCCCCAGAGAATGGGCGAGCGCCGAGGTTTTGACTCAGCTGCGGGATCTCGGCTTTCCCTGCGAGCTGATGGACATCCGTTGCGCGTCGATTGCGGCGAAGGCGCGCGTCTGCCACTATGAGGACGCCCGGCAGGGTGGCCTGCGAGTGCGGAGACGGGCCCGCCAGCTTCGGCATCGCATGCAGTGCACTCTTCGCGAGCTTTTGCCGGCCCCCATCGAGCGGTGGTTGGAGTCGAACACGCTTTTCGTGCTCGAGGCCGCGGAAGAAAGAGTTCACGAGCTCGAGCTGGCGCAGGACCTCCCCTGCACGCGAACAGCGACGCAGGAGGCCCGGCAACAAATGAAGGCCACGTGGCAGGCCGAGCGCAACAAGGCCCTCCTGGCGGGCCGCCCGCGAGCCCCGGTGGACGTCTTCATGCGCCGCCGCTTGGACCACAGGGACATTGACGTGGTTCCCGGGGCGCGGGTGCAGCGATTCCGGTCGCGCATGCAAGCGCTCGGCGCGTTCGTGCCGCCCTGCGTCCTGGCCGCGGCCCTGCGCACCGCCTTCGATGGGTGGGTCACCACGCGGCGTTTCCAGCAGATTGGACGCTGCGCTTTCGGGTGCGCCCGGGGCGTGGACGGCATCAAGCACTACGCCCACTGCAGCTTCTACCACAGGTGGAGTGAGGAGCATTGTTGTCTGTCGCGGCCGGCAACGTCTCAGTGCCTGCCTAATTTTTTGGGCCTGTGTGCTTCCGCGAGTTCCGCGCGAGCAGGGGCGGCGCGCACGCGGCAAGAGCTCGACGCTCTTCGGGCCGTTTGCCGCTGCGCACTGTACAGGGCGCATTCGGCGATCCGCCACCGCGCGGTCGAAGTTGCGGATGCCGGGGCCGTTTTCAAAGCGGCCGTCCGCGACGCCTGCGCGGCGGAGCCGCTGGACAGCTTGCTTGCTCGGTCTCGCTCCCGGCCGCGTACGCTGGCGCCCGCAGAGGAGCGGCGCGCCGTCAGCAGGCGTTCGTCGTGAGGAATAACTGCTCGCATTTCCTCCTCCTCCTGCTCCTCCTCCTCTCTCGGTCGTTTGCTTGTCGCGGTAGCATGGCATCTTTCATTTGTTATTTTCACCACCTCTGTTCCATTGCGTTGCCGCTTGGCTTGGCGTCGTGGGTTGGGCCACCTCGCAAAGCTCGACCTATTCGCTTCAGGGTCGACGCTGCTCCCGTCGGTTACGAGAGCATAGTTTGATTCAGGTTCTAAGCGCAGTAATACTTCCCTACTCCCCCTTTTCTCCCCCTTCTTCCTCCCTTCTTGTCCTCGTCTTCCTTCCGCACTAGCGGGCCGTAGTTCGTGACATTTTCGTTGCGTGCCCCCGCTTCTGTAGGGTAGCGCCACTTGTTTCCTCCCTCGTCGTCCTCCTCTCCTCCCGCCTCTGCGCCCCTCGCCTCCTCCTCCCCTCTAGTGTTTTTGCAGGTGGGTCCGAGGCGTTGCTTAGGATCCTTTGTCCGTCCCCTAGCGGGGTCGGGACTGCCCTCCCCTTCTTTCCTCTCCCTCTTCCGCTCCTTCCTCCTCCTCCTCGTCCTCCTTGCTTCCCTTGCCCCTCTTCTCTTCTCGCCGGTGTTTTTTTACTTTTGGGATTTTGCTGTGATTTAAGCCACTGGTCTCTGCTGCGGATCGACACGGAGTGCACGGGTTACTCGATTGGTGTTGCGGTCGCCCCTTCCTTCTTGCCCCTCCTTCTTCTCCCAAAAGATTGCGTGGGACAAAAAACATATAATTTGTTTGATTACCGCAACATAGCAGACGTGGCACTTGGGCACCCCAAGGAAGGGGGGGCAGGGGGTGTTACAGTCGTCCGTTCGCGCCCAGCTGGTGGGGACGTCTTAGACCATTTGCCTGTTTGATGGCCCAGGGTTTTCTGCTTTCAGAGCAGATCGTGAGGATGTCCTGGGCGAGGTGATTGTTTTAGCACCCCAGGGGGGGGCCGCCAGGGGTGGTTAAGCGGGCCTGGCCCGTTCGCGCCCCGGTTGTGGGGATGTCTCATGCGGTTTGCCTGTTTCGTGGCCCACTTTTTTTTTCCAGAGCAGATCGTGGGGATGTCCCGAGCGAGGCGCTCGTTTAAGCACCCCAAGGGAGGAGCCGCCAGGAGGGGGTGTTACAGTGCCCGTTCGCGCACAGATTGCGGGGAAGTCTCAGGTGGTTTGCCTGTTTGGTGACCCAGATTCTTTTGCTTCCAGAGTTGATCGTGAGGACGTCCCGAGCGAGGCGCTTGAGATCGTGAGGATGTCCTGGGCGAGGTGATTGTTTTAGAACCCCAAGGGGGAGCCGCCAGGGGGTGTTACATGGGCCCGTTCGCGCCCAGGTTAATGGAATGTCTCATGCGGTTTGCCTGTTGGGTGGCCCAGATAAGCGCCTGTTATAGCAACCCACGGGGGGCCGCCAAGGATTGTTACACTTGCCCGTTCGCGCCCTGATTACAGGGGGTGTCTCAACCGGTTTGCTTGTTTGGTATCCGTCTGCTTTCAAAGTTTATCGTGAGAATGTCCCAGACATGGTGTTGGTTTGAGGACCCCAAAGGGGGAGCCGGCAGGGGGTGTCGCAGTTGCCCGTTCGCGCCCCGGTTGTGGGGATGTCTCAGGCGGTTTGCTTGTTTCGTGGTCCACACTCCTGTTTTTCCAGAGCAGATCGTGGGGACGTCCCGAGCGAGGCGCTTGTTTAAGCACCCCAAGGGGGCAGCCGCCAGGAGGGGGTGTTACATGTGCCCGTTCGCGCACAGATTGTTGGGACGTCTCGGTCGGTGTGTCTGTTGGGTGGCCCAGACTCCTTTGCTTTCAGAGCAGATCGTGGGGACGTGCGGAGCGAGGCGCTTGTTTAAGCACCCCAAGGGGTCGTCAAACTTGCCCCGTTTGCGCCCAGACTGTGGGGATGTTTATGGCATTTTGCTTGTTTTGTGACCCAAAGCCGTTTGCTTTCAAAGCTGATCGTGAGAATGTCCCGGACATGGTGCTTGTTTCAGCACCCCAAAGGGGGAGCCGCCAGGGGGTCTCGACCCGGTTGTGGGGATGTCTCAGGCGGTTCGCCTGGTTCGTGGTCCACACTTCCTTTTTTTCCAGAGCAGATCGTGGGGACGTCCCGAGCGAGGCGTTTGTTTAAGCACCCCAAGGGGGCAGCCGCCAGGAGTGGGTGTTACATGTGCCCGTTCGCGCCCAGATTGCGGGAATGTCACCAGCGATATAACAGGAGCAGGCTTAGCATGCGAGCGCTCCAAGAGGAGCCGCCAGGGAGCGCTCAGTCGCCACGGGCTAAGATTCTTCCGCTCAGACGCTCACAGACGGGATTGCCAAGAATTGAGATGCACATGTGAGGACATCCGCGTCGAATAATTACACGTCGAACTTGGCCTCAGGAGGCCCACCAGGACTTCCTGGGTGGAGGCGGAGGGGGAGGAGGATGAGGAGGAGGAGGAGGAGGGACGAGGAGGAGGAGGAGGAGGAGGAGGAGGAGGAGGAGGAGGAGGAGGAGGAGGAGGGGGATCGAGGAGGGCGGCTGCGTCGCCTCCGAGGGCGGCTGCGTCGCCACGGCTGGGCCCACCTCGAAATGCTGGTCAGGATGCGGCTTGGGACAGATCCAGAAGAGAGATTTTCATGGGGGGGCCAGACGCGAGGGACATGCGACGGCCGTTTTCTATCAAAATCGTGGGCCTTGCCAGCCCGCTTCGAGTCCCCCGCAACCATCAGAAAACGGGCCCAGATGACGAGTCGGTCCCAGGGGAAGGGATTCAAGAGGTTGTCGGGAGCTTGAAAAGCACACGCAACATAACTTTCGCGGGCGTTTTCTCCACTGGCGCCAGCCGTCCCCGCAAAGCCAAGGGCGTCGCCTATCAAATCGGACGCCTGGCGCGCCTCACGCCTTGCGAGCTAGGGAGGGGTGTGGCGCCAGCGGGGGAACCGTCCGCGACGAAAGGTTTCTACTCGCCTTGTTCGGAGTTCGCTGAGGAGGTGGTGGTCGGGCTGCCCGGGCTCGGCGAGATGCAGGGCTCCATCGAGCGCCCGCCGCATGACAGCAGAGCGTCTGGCGCGACGCCCCCCGTCGCGAGGTTCTTGCGCGTGCCCTTTGCCAAGGCCCCCGTCGGCGACCTGCGCTGGCGTTCGCCGCAGGCCCACGGACCCTGGAAGGTCGGGGGAGGCGAAGGGTGCCCCAGAGCGGACGTACCCCGCCCAGAGAGATGTCCTCGGGGCCCACCGCAGGGCACCCCAGGGCCAGGTCTCGGCGCACGTTGGGGCGGGAGTCGTGGCCCCTGCGACGCCTCGCTGGTGTGCACCTCGCCCTGGGGACGCTTCGGCCCTCCCATGAAGGGCACCCTGAACTGCACGGCCTTCGGGCCCGCCTGCCCAGGGGCCGGCGGCGCCGCCGCCGTGTCGTCGGAGGACTGCTCAGGAGGCCTCTGTACGCCACCACCACCACCACCTGCGGCTGGGGCCGCCCTGGGTCAGGGCCCAGGATGGTCCTGGCCAGGCACGGTGGTGGTGGTGCACAGGCAGATGCCCTCCGCGGAAGGACTGCTTGTTCCTCAACGTCTTCGCCCCGCTGGACTCCGTCCTGGCGGCGGCCAGCCGCGGCCCGCGGCCGCCGCGGCTGCCGGTGCTGGTCTGGATGCACGGGGGCGGGTTCGCCAGCGGGTCGCCAAGCTTGGGGCCGCCGGCCCGCGGCGAGGAGCTCGTGTCCGCCTCTGGCGGCTCGGTCGTGCTCGTCACTGTGGCCTACCGCTTGGGCGTGCTCGGCTTCCTGGGCGGCCACAAGAGCATCGCCGGCAGGAGCTCAAGATTTCTCTCGTTTGGGACCATGCCTCGGGCCCCGGGCGGCCGTTTGGGGTGCTCCTGGGCTCCTCAGTGGCCTCTCGACGAGTCGGGGCTGATGTGATCCTCCTTGGGCCCGAACTTGTAAGCAACCTCGCACCAAAGCGAGACGCAGGCAACGGGGGTGAACACTGCCTGACCAAGGTTTGGGAGCCACGTGGAGCCGGCCGCCCCCGCCTCACCCCTCTGGCCAGGTTTGTTTGGGACCCACTTCGTGGCCGGCCAGGGTTTGAGGAATCCCACGTCAAGGGTGGGAGCAGGCCCCCGTCGTGACGTTCTGGAATGCTCTGGCTTTTCCTTAAGCAGCTTGTCTTCAAAGGTTCCAGTTCAATATTTTGAGGTCGAATGGGTGGATTGCCAGATCCGGAGTCGGTGGTTCGACGTTGCCTCCCGTTTTCTGTTGTTTTCTCTAGATGTCTCACGTTGCCTCCCGTTGTCTCCCGTTGTCTATCCTTATCCCGATCTCGATCGCTATTCCTCTATCCTTAATTCTATCCCTATCTTTTATCCCGATGGCCTATTATATATTCCTATCTCCATATCCCTCTGTCCTTCTCCCCATTATCCCTAAACGTATCCCTATCCATACTCTATTCCGATTCCCTATTCTGTATTCCGATCTCTCTATCCCTATGTTTTTCTCCCCATACCCCTGTCTCTATCCCTATTCCGATTCCCCCATCGTGGCCCCCCATCGTAAATGGGAACACCTGGTTAGGGTCTTCTGACGCAAGGGTGTCGTTTACACGAGGTCGGATGTCGGAGGAGCACCGAGGGCGCCATGGGCAACTTTGGCATCGAGGACCAGCGTATGGCGCTGGAATGGGTGCGCGATTTCGTCCGCTTCTTCGGTGGCGACCGCCAGCGCGTCACCATTGCCGGAGAGGGCTCGGGCGGCGCATCGGTGCTGCAGCACCTGGTGCGCGGAGACTCGTGGTCGCTGTACTCCGGCGCGGTCATCCAGGGCGGCGCGCTGTATAGCACAGTGACGCCCTCCCAGGCGAAGGCCAATTTCCTTGCGCTGCTGCGTTCGACGGGCTGTGGCGGCATCGACTGCCTGCTCAGGCTGGACGAGGCGTTCGAGGGGCCATCAGTTGCGGCCAACAATAGTTCCACACCACCAGCGCCTCGTTCCCTCTCCCCCCCCCATTCTAGGGAAGAGGGGAGGGGAGGGGAGGGCGGACGCGGAAGAGTCAGGATCTGTTCTGATGGTGTGTATTGTTGGCCCCCCTGGGAGGCGGCCCTGCTCGAGCGTGGCGACGCCGTCTCCCAGGCCGAGTCCAACTGGTGGCCCGTGGCCATGCGCGCTCCGATGGAGCTCGTCGCCAAGGGGGAGTACAACCGGATGCCCCCCGTCCTGCTCGGTGCCTCCGAGGACGAGTGGGCCTCGCTGGTGTTGGGCGACCGCTCCGTCTATCCCAGGGCCATGAACGCGGCCGAGCAGGACCACGCCCTGGCAACGCTGCTGGGCGACGCCGGGCTGGAGCTGGCCCTCCAGGACCGCGCGGGCGCATCCCGTGCTGAAGCTCCTGGCGCCGTGGTCGGTGCTGCCACCCTCCGGGCCTGGGGGGACCCGCGAGCATTCGTGCAGGCAGACCCTTCAGAGGCCAGCCAGGATGGGCCACTTCCTGGCCGTTCGGCTGCTCTTGGGCCTCCAGGGGGCCTGTTCGGTTGGCTCCTGGCCCCCCCGTCTCCGAGGAGTGGCCGACAGACAGACCACGGCACAAGGACCGCGCAGACGACGCCCGCTGGAACTCCAGCGGCACGGGGAGTGGGTGCAGCCACGAGTGGTGGAAGTCGCTCCGGACCCTCAGCGACTGGCTCGTGGGCGTGTGCCCGCACAGGCACGCCGCCGCCGCTCTCTCCGAAGGCGGCACCCCGTCGGTCTACTTCTACCAGTTCACCCAGCCGCCGCCAGGGTCGGGGGACGGCCTCGTGCCCCATGGGAGCGAGCTGCCCTACCTGTTCGGCCTTGGCTCGGGGGAGGTGCTACGCGAGGAGGCGGAAGCCCAGCTGGCGTGGCGTGTGCGCGAGTACTGGCTGAATTTCGTCAGGACGGGCGACCCGAACGAGGCTGGTCTGCCGCACTGGCCTCCCTTCTCAAGCTCTGAAGGTGCCGCGCGCCTCGCCGCTGGCCCCGGTGGCGTTCGCGCGGTGGCCTCCAGCGGCGCCTGCGACTTCTGGGAGGCCTGGCGCGCGGAGCAGTCTGGGTTGGGCGGCGGGCACTCCATCGCGGGCGGCCTGGCTGATCGGCAGCTCCTGCTGCTGGAGACCGGCCCGCTGCGCGGCTGGTCCGGCGGGTCGCTGCGCGCTGAGCCGACCCTGGCGCCGGCCGCGTTGAGGGCCAGGCTGGGCGTCGGCAGCGCGCAGCAGCCAGGGACCAGCGCTGACCACTGGCTGCCCGTCGCTGCGCTGCTGTCGCTGGTCGTGGTGGGCACTGCGCTCCTGGCGTCGGCGTGCCGGGCCTGGCCCACGGGCGACGAGGCGCAGGCGCCGAGGTCCAGATCCAGAAGCAGCAGTCCGGGGCGCAGTCTGGAGCTGGGCGCGTCCAGGGCCGGTAAAAGTCCGGACCGCAACGACGACCGCGAGGCCTCGGCGCCAGGGGTCCGATACCAGCTGTTGCCGCCTGGCTCGCCAGGGCTCGTTCCTGGCCCAGAGCGAGGCCGCCCAACCTCAGCGCCTGGGACCCGCTACCAGTTGCTCCAGGGGGCGGCGCCTGTGGCTAATCGAGGCTGACCGCGAGCCGTGCCGTGAAGACCCAAGGTCTCACAGGCGCCCGCGCCAGTCAGCAAAGAGCCGCCGCCGTCGTCAGTGCTGCGGTGGTTCCCTCCTTTGCCGCTGCTTATGGTACGTCTGCCTGCTTGTGGTTCCTGCTTCCTGCCTGCTCCTGCCTCCTCCCCCTCCTCCCCCTCCTCCTCCTCCTCCTCCTCCTCCTCCTCCTCCTCCTCCTCCTCCTCCTCCTCCCCCTCCTCTAGCCGCCGTTGTGGCTTCAGCAACGGCGCGGGCTTGAACACATGATCGTGAGGTTCCCCTTACCGAACCATCGGCCAGCGGGTGTCACGGGGACACGAGACGGGTGCCATGAGCCGCCTGCATTGTTTCTTCCTTGTGCTGATGCCGCTCTGGCGTACCTATCACAGTGCCGGTGGCCCTTCATGGAAGCTCGTGCAATGTAGTCCCTTGGCGTGTACACGTTCAGATCGTATTGACGACATCTGCATGATGGATGTAGAGGCGGTGGCGATCAAGGGCACCCAGTTGAAGGGCAGGGAGTTTGAGGTGCAGAAGCGACGTGTGCATGGCGGTCAGCTGATTGAAGTTGGGTGGAAACGCGAGCCGAACTCTAACAGAACATGCGGGGTGGCCGTGATGTTGCATCAAAGTTTTCTTCGAGATGAACATGTTCGTGCGGTTCGAGCGGCGAAAGGATTGGCGGGAAGGTGTCAGACAGTACGTGCGCGCACTTTGACGGAATATTGTGCGATTTTGGCGCAGTATTACCCGCCCAAGGTCGTGAATCAAAGAAGCAAGCGGCCTATAATAGGACGGCTACGCAGTGGCTATCTCGAGAATTGGCAGCTTGTCCGTCCAGATCTCTAGCTATTGTGACGTGCGACTTGAATGATGGATTGGGTTTAAACATAACGACGATGCGAAGGTGTCAGACGAGGAAGTTGTTTTTTGTGTGTTTTTTTCCCATGGCGCTGGCCGGGAACATTTTGCTTGAGCGTTTCGATAGATCTTGCAGACTCATGTCGTGTCCGCGGTATCGGCAATGTGTCACTCCCCCACCTTTTCTTCAGCGAGTCGTCGAATTTTATTATGGACTAGGTGTGCGTGCCGCACTCAACGAGAGGAGCGGCGGGGGTGGCTGGTTCATTCATGGGCAAGAGGCGTAGGCTTATGCTCATCAGCGTAGCAGCACCTCGTGACTCCCCTGACCCCCTTTTCAATTTTCTCGCACAAGTTATGCATGGTGTCGCGCGCCCGTTTTTTTGCCGGGCGTCTCAGGGTGTCCCGGGGAGGGCCGAGCTTGAGAGGGCCCGTCGGATTTGCTGCAGCGTCGCCGAGAGCACTTCCCTGGCTGGGGCGTCGCCCGAGACCCTGGAGGCCGCCTCGGGGGAAATCCGACAGGCCACCGGAACTTTAAAGGGCACGTCTCGTGAAGCCTTCAGGCAGCGTAGGGAGGGGCACCTTGAATCTTTAAAAGGTGCCCGGGGGTCTAGAGACCTCCGTGAGGTTTTTTGTATTCCTTTCTTGCTCGGATGGCGGCGGGAGTGCGGATCGGCCCCGAGAAGATGAAATTGCTGGAGGCCCGTGCTTCCCTGCCAGCGAGAGAGGGGCAAGTGGCGTTTTGGGCGGGGCCTGAATGGAGGGATGGCGGCGGTTGAGTTGGGGGCCCGGGGGGGCATGCCTAATTTGCAGAACTATAGCGCGGTCTTCAGTTTGCAAGAGCCCGAGCAGGCGCAGGAGGATGTTATGATAATTTGTAGAAAGCTGCGTGGAGTAGGCAAGCGTAGAGTTACGCCGAAGTGGTCTGATCCTTTCGAGTTGTGGGACATGGTTTTGAGCCCTGGGCTGGGGGCTCCTGCAAACAAACAAGTTGGAGGATTTGGGGCCCCAGGCCCAGCGAGGCCCACTTTTTCGCACGCGCGATACATGGGGGCTGCGGCGACTCAGGTGATCTCAGCGCGCGCCGAGAGTCTGGCACTGCAGTCAGGTGAGTGGTCTTAGGAAGTCGGATGTTGAAGGTCCTGCCGGCAAGAGGTGGGTGCGTCTGATACCGCCGATAGGCAGGATCTGGCACTCGGCCCTCATGGCCAGATCGACCAATGCCGGAGGCGCACGGCTACCGACCTGGGAGGAGCAAGAAGACCCCATGCTGGTCTCCGCGATCGTGGCGCGGAGGGATCAGCGGGAGGGGCGTCTGTTCTGCAGGCAGTACTTCGATGCCACTAACGCATTTGGGGGTATTTCGCAGAGTGGGCTTAAGCTGGCAGCAGCGGAGCTCTTTGACGGGGGGGGCGATCCCTATGGGGCTCCAGAGGGTGGGTGGATCAGGCAACCATTTCAGTGCCGCGTGAGTTCGGGCCCGTGATTTTGTGGCCTGGCCGCGTCGGGGCGACGGGTGCCCTTCCACGGTGGCGGCTTGGGCGAGGGCCTGTCAGCCTTGCGCGGCGCGGCGGCGCAGCGCGGTGGCCGCGGAGGGGGTGACAGAGGGACAGTTGGCGGCGATGAGCCCTTGTGACCCTTCCCCGATCGACCTGGCGCTGTGCCAGTGTGCTGGTGTTCTTGAGCTTCCCCATCTGGCAATGCCCAGTGAGCGCGCTGCTTCTCTTGCGGCGGGGGCGCGGAGGGCTTCTGATCTCCCGTCGGAGACGCAGGCCGATGATAACTGCGCTCAGAATACTAAGCAGCAGATGAGTTTGATGCGCCTGCTTGGCCGTCTCGGCGGACAGCCGGCCCCGGGAGATGGCGCGCCATCTGGTTGGATGCCTCGGCGGGCAATCCGCGGCGGACCCCAGGCCGGCCCAAGCTTGTGCCCCGGAGCCAAAGGCCCGCGAGGCGGCGGTTTTCTGTTTTTTATTCATTGGGGGGCTTCCGGTTTTTAAGGGGCCTTGTTTTGGTAGATCAAGTCCATGTTTCTGTTCCTTATCATTGGCGCGGCTGCGCAAAGTTTAAAGGCATAGTTACCGCTTGCTCGTCGGCTTTCGGAGCTCCAGCATGTCGCAGACGCGCCGGCGAGGGGCTTTGCGCAGATTGGCGCGCGCCGAGCTTGAAGGCGCTCGCGCGTCGCGGTCAAACGAGCGCACCAGCAAATATTGGAGGCTCTGCTCGCTCGAGGTTGAACTTAGGATCAGGCGCCCGCAGAGATTGCGAGCCATTGCGAAACGACCCGAAGGGCGCAGACAGTGGATTGCGGCGCACGTGGGAGTCATGGGCCGAGGGGGGGGGGCGATGACTGAGAGCGGGGGGCTCGCTGAGAACGCGAGCCCGTGGGTTCGGAGGGTGATGGGGGACTTGAAGGCCCTGCTCGCTGCGGGGCGCGCGGAGCTGCCCCTGTCGGAGCATCGCATCGCGGCTGACGCGGATCCCGCGCATGATGCGCGCGTCTGTCTCAGTGATCTTTTGTGCGCGACGGGGGCGGGGCCGGACTTCATCGCGGTGGACGTCGGGCCCTTGAGGGCCCAAGATGTTCAAAAGTTGCCAGTGGATAGTCAAGGGGGAGGGCGCGGTAGAGGAGGAGGAGGGGGAAATGGGCTCTGGAAGTGTTTCTTCAACTCGGAGGATATCCCAGGAGATTGCTCGGTGCCCTTCCGTTCGAGTGGAGCTGTTGACCCGCAGTCAACGCGCGCGTCGGAGGGCGGATGTGCATGCTTCGATCGTGGTTGCCAACCAGTGTCCATATTGTGGGAGTATTTTTTCCGCGACATCAGGCAGCTTTATCGCCGTGTGATATCAAAGCGGGCCCGACCCGACAGAGTTACGTGAGTTCGGTATCTTGGCCTTGTGGCGCAGCCGGCGTCGCTCGATTGTCCGTTGTGCGAGTGCTCGGCTCGAGACGTGCCTGACCTGCGTCTCCATCTTGTTTCCCGCGCCCCATTGCGCGCGCGTGTCTCTCGAGGGGCCGAAGTGGGCCCTCAAAAGAGGCGCGGGCGGCCGGCCGGGGGGGGGGGGCAAGAGGCTGCTGGCGGACCTAGGCGCCGACGCCGGGGCAGGCTTCAAGGCTCGCCGCTAGAGATTATGGCCAAGGCGCTGGCGGCGCCGGCGCTGACGCAGGCCGCGGAGCTCTGAGATCTCACCGCGGCCGTCTATCTCGCGCTACTCATTCCCGCCCCCATAGGGAGCTCCACCGAAGGCCCCAGTGGGGGTGTTCGCATGCGGTTCCCCCACCCAGGGCAGCGTTTCGTAGCCCCATAGGGAGCTCCACCGAAGGCCCCAGTGGGGGTGTTCGCATGCGGTTCCCCCACCCAGGGCAGCGTTTCGTGGCCCCATAGGGAGCTCCACCGAAGGCCCCAGTGGGGGTGTTCGCATGCGGTTCCCCCACCCAGGGCAGCGTTTCGTGGCCCCATAGGGAGCTCCACCGAAGGCCCCAGTGGGGGTGTTCGCATGCGGTTCCCCCACCCAGGGCAGCGTTTCGTAGCCCCATAGGGAGCTCCACCGAAGGCCCCAGTGGGGGTGTTCGCATGCGGTTCCCCCACCCAGGGCAGCGTTTCGTAGCCCCATAGGGAGCTCCACCGAAGGCCCCAGTGGGGGTGTTCGCATGCGGTTCCCCCACCCAGGGCAGCGTTTCGTGGCCCCATAGGGAGCTCCACCGAAGGCCCCAGTGGGGGTGTTCGCATGCGGTTCCCCCACCCAGGGCAGCGTTCGTGGCCCCATAGGGAGCTCCACCGAAGGCCCCAGTGGGGGTGTTCGCATGCGGTTCCCCCACCCAGGGCAGCGTTTCGTGGCCCCATAGGGAGCTCCACCGGAGGCCCCAGCGGCTGCTCTCGCATGCGGTTCCCCCACCCAGGGCAGCGCTTCGTGGCCCCATGGGGAGCTCCACCGAAAGCCCCCGTGGCGCAGTTCGCATGCGCTTCCCCCACCCAGGGCAGCGTTTCGTGGCACCATAGGGAGCTCCACCGAAGGCCCCAGTGGCGCAGTTCGCATGCGGTTCCCCCACCCAGGGCAGCGTTTCGTAGCCCCATAGGGAGCTCCACCGAAGGCCCGCCCCGGTGGCGCAGTCCGCATGCGGTTCCCCCATCCAAGGCAGCGCTTCGTGGCCCCATATGGAGCCCCACCGAAAACGGCA